TTTAAAAGTTTATAGAAATGTGCCTGGCGCAGTGGTGTAGATTAAATCTCTGCTTGCAGGCTGGCATCCCATTTGGGTGCCAGTTTGAGTCCCGGCTGCTCCACTTCCCATCCAGCTCTCTGCTTATGGCCTGGGAAAACAGTGGAAGACTACCCATGCTTGGACTCCTGCACACACACAGGAGACACAAAGAAGCTCCTGGCTCCTGGCTTCATATTGGCACAGCTCCGGCCATTGTGGCCATTTGGGGAGTGACCAGTGGATGGAAGACCTCTCTCTCTCTCTCTTTCTCTGATTTTGTCTCTCAAATAATAAAAATCTTTGCAAAACAAGAAGTTTATAGAAATCAAACTAAATGATAAGTTAATTTTAAAAAATTAAATGTCAATTTAAAAATATGTGAAGCAGAACAAAGAGTTTCTAAATTCTTTTAAAGACTACAGGCTTAGGGCGGGCAATGTGGTGCAGTGGATTAAGCTACCACCTGGGACACCAGCTCCCAAATCAGAGTGCCAGTTAAAGTCCCTCTCCTTGACTTCCAGCTGAGCTCCTGGAAAGAGAGTAGGATGATGACCCAAGTACTTAGGCCCCTGCTACCCATGTGGGAGACCCAAATGGAATTCTGAGCTCCTGGCTTTGGCCTGGCCTAGCCCCAGCTGCTATGGGCATTTTAAGGAGTGAATCAGTAGATGGAACATACACTCTTTTTCTGTCACTCTGTCTTTCAAATAAAATAAAAAAAACTTTTTTTTTTTAATTAAATAAAGGGGCCGGCACCATGGCACAGTAGGTTAATCCTCCGCCTGTGGCGCTGGCATCCCATATGGGCGCCAATTCTAGTCCCGGCTGCACCTCTTCAAATCCAGCTCCCTGCTAGGCCTGGGAAAGCAGTGGAAGATGGCCCAAGTGCTTGGGCCCCTGCATCCACGTGGGGGACTTGAAAGAAGCTCCTGGCTCCGGATTGGCGCAGCTCCGGCTGTTGCAGCCATTTGGGGAGTGAACCAATGGAAGAAGACCTTTCTCTGTCTCTTCCTCTCACTGTCTGTAACTCTACCTCTCAAATAAATAAAATCTTTAAAAAATAAAATTAAATAAAGACTACAGCCTTAGCCTTCTCTTTGCTTTAACAGTGGCCAGGGCTGCAGTGGAAAATGAAAAAGGAAGATTCTCAAGTTGTCTGGCCTCGTCTCCTGGCATCAGCAAACCTCTAGAGAAAAAGCCATACTGTGCTTAAAGAAAGGCCAGTCCTCGGCAAAACCACCATATTCCTTGCCGCCCTTCTCACTCCCTCGCTGAGCAGCCTGGAGTTGATACTCCACCCCTTACCTAAAGCCCCCATTGACCTCCCTCCCGGAGACCATTCCATCTTTCAAAATGTGTCATGCTGCGAAGTACCTTTGCTCCCACGGTCTCCTCCCATCCAATGCAGGTGATGAAGCTAAAATGTTATAGAGGCAACAATCTAGTTAACTAAACATGCAGTGCTGTCATATCCACATCAGGCCACGGGGGATATCTATACTTAAAGACTTATTTTCAATTTTTTTTTAAAGAATAATGTATTTATTTACTTGAAAGACAGAGTGACAGAGAGACAAAGAGAGAGAGAGAGATCTTCCATCTGCTGGCTCACTCCCCAAATAGCTACAAGAGTAGAGGCTGGGCCAGGCCAAAGCCAGGGGCCCAGAACTCCATCCAGGTCTCCCACATGGATGGCAGGAGGCAAGTCCTTGAGCCACGATCTATTGCTTTCCTAGTACATTAGCAGGAAGCTGGATGGGACACAGGGCAGCAGAGATTCAAACCAGTGTTCCGACATAGGATGCTGGTGTGGCAAGTGGTGGCTTAATCCACTGCACCACAACATCAGTCCCTTGATTTTGGGTTCTTACCTGTTGGATTCTCAATAGCATGGAGTTTCCGGTGGCTTGAGCAGGGATGCTGGGAGCACAGAGAGACCCAAGCTCTTAAGTCAGGCTCAGGACTAAGGATCTTGATGCCACAGGAGGCACCTAAAGGAGCAGCCAGTTCTAGCCCACTCTCCCTTTGCTGTCCAAACCTAATTCTCAAGATGCTCGCCTTGCTTTACTAACTTCCCAGGCCTGGCACCCGACCCAGGTTTCAAACAGCTAGCATCGCGTCGGCACACTCAACCACCAAGCACTGCTCTGCATACGCACCAGGACTTATCAGGCAACACGTCACTTAGCAATCCTATGCAGTGAGCTTCCTACGAGGTTCAATTTGTCCAGTGTCACACAGCCAGTGTTGATTCAAACTCAGTGTTACTCATTCATCCAAAAATTCATTTTATAAAGCAGCAAAGTAGCCTTAGGCTCTGTTAGTTACTGGAGGGTGCAAGGTAATGCGTAAGACAGAGCCCTGTTCTCAGCTATCTTATATCCTAGCAAAGGAGAAATTAAATAAGTAGGTACAATAAAGTCAGTCCCACTCTGGGAAACTTTGGCTGATGGTTGACTTCTCTGGGATACAAGGAGGAAACATGTAATGACAAAAACGTGACCTGTGAACTCATGGCCTTCAAACAAAACAGACTTGATTTCAAATCATGGTTCTGCCACTCACTCGCTGCCACCCTGGGGCAAGTTGTTCAACTCATCTATGCTTGCATTCCTCAAGATCGTGGGGTATTCTTCCCCACCTCTGTCCCTTGACAGCTTTGGGGTCCAGCACAGATGTCACCTCCCTAGAAAAACCTTTCCTGACTATCAAATCTAAAGTGTAGGGGCCAGCACTACGGCATAGCGGGTAAAGCCGCAGCATGCAGTGCTGGCATCCCATTTGGGTTCAAGACCCAGCTGCTCCACTTCCGATCCAGCTCTCTGCTATGGCCTGGGAAAGCAGTAGAAGATGGCCCAAGTCCTTGGGCCCCTGTACCCACGTGGGAGACCAGGAAGAAGCTCCTGGCTCCTGGCTTTGGATCAGCCCAGCTCTGGCTGTTGTGGCCATTTGGGGAGTGAACCAGCAGATGGAAGACCTCTGTCTCTGCTGCTTCTCTCTCTGCCTCTTCTCTCTATGTAACTATGACTTTCAAATAAATAAATCTTTAAAAAAAATCTAAAGTGTATTCCATCCAATGCAACTCTGCCTCTATCACACTGCCCTATGATTTTGTACACAACCGGAAATCCCTCCGCTTACTTATTGAGTTGGGTGTACACTGTCTCACCACAGGTCAGAGACTCTGGTCAGGGCTACATCACTAGCAGCTGGAAACACCCCCTGGACGACAGTAAACCCTCAAGAAGTACCCATTAAACCAATGAATCAGGCGACCAGGCCAGCTGAATTTTGAATAAATCATTTTATAAGCTTAGCCCAAGGTGGACTCAAGTGATAATGGCTCTCAGTTTGCCCGACTTACCTAATTGATCTGACCTAAGTCCAGCCCATGGGTGCCTCTGCCCCCCTGAGGAATTACAGGACTCTGACAAGTAGGACTTTTTCCACAGAAAGTTCCTCTGGTATTCACTCAGCCCCTGTAATGCAAAGAACAATGTGAGTACGGTGTGGTATGAACATTTCTTTAAGGCAGACATCAGAAAAAAATAAATAAGACAATTGGAGGCTTCCAGCTTGCTAATTCAACACAGATGGGCTCCTTAATGATGGCTAATATTTACCCAGCTCTGTGCTAAGCAGTTCACATGTATTATACCCTTTAATCCCCACAGCGACTTGAGGCAGGTGCCAGCAGGGCTCCAAGGCTCACAAGCTCCCCCACCCAGAGCACACTCCGTATTATGCCGCGTTCCTTTGGGGGCTTTGATAAAGTGAAAAAAGAACTCCCTTCCCATTCTGGATAAGAGCCCTTAAGATGAAAGAGTAAGAGTCAGGAAGGCTACAGTCACCTGTTCTTCAAGGGGCGCCTGTCGCGGACAGCTCCCAGAGACTCGGAACTTTTAACGAACCTTGAAACTACACCACCGGGAAAAATGTGTATTGCTTGTATTCCCTCTTTACTGAGGACCCGTAACTGACGTCTTTAAAACACACACTTTAAAGTATCACAGGGAAGGAGGGCCAGACGCTACCCAGTGAGAGGGGTCAGTTCCTCCCATAGGAACAGCGCCCTCCTCCCTTCTCCGCTGCTGAGTCCCTCCATACCACCTGACTCGCCGCGAACCGCACTCGGAGGTGTGTGAGCGGGAAGGGAGCCAGGTACGCGGGGCCTCGCGGCTCCGGGCAGGGCCGCGACACGCAGGCCGGGGCTAACAGCCCCTGCGGGGCCGAGGCGCGCAGCGCACAGAGCCAGCGCGGCCCCTGCCCCGTCCCCGCCCCGCCGCGGCTCCCCTCGGCTGCCTTCCGGCCCGGCGATCCCGGCCTCACCTTGAAGCGCACCGGCATGTCGCCCGGCGCCGGAGCCCCCGCCACTCCGACAGTTAACGGGACGAAAAGCCCGGGGGGGCGGGGCGACAACACAGTTCCCTAGGAAAAGGCTCAGCCTGGCGTCCCCGACTACGCGCCGGCGCACTCCCCACGTCTCGCCTTGAGCCCTGTCGCTCCGCTTTTCCCCGCCCACCGTGAAGCGTAAGAACCAATACAGTCTCGCAGAGCCCCTTGCCGTCATTATAACTCGACCAATCAATGCTCGGTCGGGGACCGCCCACCTCCAGTGCCCAATCCAGAGTGCTCATAGAGATGGCGGGCGGAAGTTTAGCCAATGAGGCTCCCGGAACTGGGATGGGCGGGGCTCCGCGGGAGCTTCGTCCTAGGAGGGATTGATGGGTCCTGGGCCGCCGGCTGCTGGTGCAACAATGGGTTTGTGTGCTGGTGGGATTCGAACGTTCCCGGCCTCGCTAAGCCCAGGATCTTTACATCATAAAGCAAGAACGTGTGACAGAACAGAATGCTTCTTTTTCTGCAAAGTGTGCAGGTCTGCTCCGCGGAAAACCTATTCCTGGAACCGGCAGCCCGCCACTGTGTGCTATTGATGGTCGCATCGAAAGGGGTAGGCCAGAAAACAAATATAGCTTAGGTAAATTTAAAAACATTTTATTGAAACTCCAAAGAGTTTCCTTCAATCTCCACCTTCCCTCCACCCCCCCCCCAAAAAAAGGTATACACAGAGCACTTGTTTTAGAAAATATTGATTAATCATCCTTGTGCATCTCAACTTCCAAACCTTCAGCCTTGTTCCTCCGCTCGCCCTTTTTTGAAAACTAAAATTCCATCTGATTTTAATAGACCATGACTAGCATCATCAGTAAATATTTCTTGACAGAACACTGTGCTGACTCTGAGCACTGGGAAGGAAATAAATTTTCCAGACAGTCGGTGGATGCACTTGGAAAGGAAGTGCATCTGTTTATTCAGGAGCAGTAAAAAGCATCAGGTGCTAACTGTCCAAATGAGAGGTGTGGGAGTCATTGCCGAGGGCAGAGATGACTAGACAAAGGCTCAGGAGGAAACACGCAGGCTGGGCCTTGAAGACTGCAGTAAGCAGAGAGGAGGCTGGGATGATCAAAGGGCAGGCGGCTGAAGAGGATGCTGCCAGGCTCTTTCCAGGAACAACGAACACAGCGCTTTTTATTTTGTCATTCGTGGATGGTGTAAAAGCCACCTTTTTCATACTTTCAAATATCAACATCAATCCTGGCTGCTCTGCTTTCAGCGTTTTCTGCAAAGGCTTGTCTTCCCAATCCTAACTGATGTCGCTGTTCTTCATCATCATCACCGAGATACTTAAAAATTCATTTGAAGGAGCCACTCGATATCTGAAACAAAGGGAATATTGAATTAGTCCCCATGCAGCCGTGCAGCCAGGGGCCCTTGATTCGTGTTAATTGGTGATGACAGCATCTCTGTGGTGTCAATTAAGAAATGCACAAACAAGACAGGGGAACATACAACAAAAGTCCTCTCTAGGAAGGCAGCCAGATCTTAAAGGGTAGGAAAGACACATCTCTGCTTGTAGACATAGCTTTGTTGCCACGTATCGCTAAGGTGAAATCAACAAAAGCAAGCATGCAGAATGTGTCGGCTAAACAAAGGCAATGCTAACTGTGGAAGAGCTCAGAAGAGCAGGGAATAAAATACCAGGAAAACCAAACAACCGATGGTAAACCTGGTCACATTTACTACAAATGTATTATAAGGACTCGAGGAAGGACAACCTACTTTGTTATGGTTAAACAAAAGCCCACCCTCGTTTACCAGGCAATGATGTAGAAATGAAGAAACGGATACCTCAGTAGCTGAGTTTTGCAGCCTGTGGTTTGCCAGCTCCTTGCTTCTCAGCTACTGCAGGAAATAGACCCAGGACCCTACGAAGTCCCACCCAAGTGTTCTGAAAGCCCCTAGGTGGTGTCTCACATGTTCTTACAGCTGCCACCTACACTGTGCCCAGCAGCACTGCCCTGTGTTCCAATAGTCATGTGCCCATAGGTGTCACTCTTGCTGACAGCCACCTGGTTAGCTTGGTACTGAGTCTCCGCTGGGCACAGCAGTCTTCCTTATCCCCAAAGGGCTCGGAGAGAAATGCATGGAGTCTGGGCCAGCAATTCCTCCCCTCACAGCTCTCATGCAATGCTTCTGTCTCCCACTAGTGAAGGCCCCTCTTGCCTTAGTAGATTTCTCTGTTGCCTGTGAGAGACTAAAGGAGTACAACCCCTTTGAAAGGCAATTTGTCATTCCTTTGGACCCAGGAATTTCTCGCCTATAAATCCATCTTACATAGATATGTGAAATCCATCATCCACATGTATGTGAAAACATATTCACTTAAGGTTGTCTGATGAACAAACCGGTTATCCTTGCAGGGGTGGGAAAGTTTTTTCCTGCCAAGGGCATTTGGATATTTATTGCAACACTTGCAGGCCATACAAAATTATCAACTTACAAATTAGCCTGCTATAGATTTACTGAATTTCGAGTCCTGCCTGCAGTTGCCTTGGAAGGGCCGGACCCAGTGATTCCATAGGCCTTACATGGCCCACGGGCTGGACCATTCCACCCCTGTAGGAGGGAACTGTTTCAGTGCATTGTGGTTCCCCTGAGGCTCAGAGCAAGAGCAGGCTACCCGGCAGGTGCGCGGACGGCAGGGAGACTGTTCTGTCCCTTTGAACCTTCTCACCCAGCAGTCCCAGGTGAGTCGCTCCCCCCACAGGTATCCAGTACTGCATCTGTTAGGATCCAGCCAGAAAACAGAAACTGCAATGGGCAGTTCAACCAAAAGAACTTAAGTTAGTAGATTACGTTCAGAAGAGGGGATATTCACTCCAGCAAGGAGTTCAGATCCTGAGAGTGAGAGGATGCAGACCCTGAGGTTACTAGAATGAAGAGGTCTGCAGGAGGGGCCTGAAGGGAGATTGCTCAGAAAGGCTCACGCCCAGCCAGTGTGGGTGCCTCTGGGAGACAGAGTGAGGAGGTCTCTGGGAATGCCAGGAAAACAGGAGACTGCAATCAGCTACCAGCTTTGTGGGACAAAGGATCCCCATTGAGGTGTTGCTGACAGGAACAGTGAGCGAGAGAGGACATTGCCTTCCCTCTAGTGTCCTCGCTTAGCACACCTGACAGGAGCTGCCATGTGGTATGCGGAGTCTGAAGGGCAAGATGGAACTGATAGGAGCAGCTCACTCACCTGCACACAACCCTTAGAAGGAGCAGGCATCAGGGCCAGCGTTGCGGCACAGCGGGTGAAGCTGCCACTGGGAATGCCAACGTCCCACGTGGGAGCACAAATGCCAGCCACTGCACTGCCCTCCCAGCTTCCTACTGCTGCACTCGGGAAGGCAGTGGAAGACGGCCCAAGTACTTGGGCCCCTGCTACCCATACGGAAGACCAGGATGGAGTTCCAGGCTTCTGGCTTCGGCCTGGTCCAGCCTCAGTCATTGTAACTATTTGGGGAGTGAGCCAGCTTTTGGAAGATTTCTCTCTCTCTCCTTCTATTTCTCCCTCTTTCTCTGTCACTCTTCCTTATGAATGAATGAATGAATGAAAAAAATAAATAAATAAATAAATCTTAAAAAGAAAGAGAGTTTCTTGAGAGTTAACGTGGAAGAGTCTCAAAGAACAAGACAAGACACTAGAGTGTGTATAGAGTACTCATATCCCACCCAGTGAGATGGAAGAAGGAAAAATGAACCAAAACAGGCCGGCGCCACAGCTCACTAGGCTAATCCTCCACCTGTGGTGCCAGCACACCGGGTTCTAGTCCAGGCTGGGGCGCCAGATTCTGTCCCAGTTGCTCTTGTTCCAGTCCAGCTCTCTGCTGTGGCCCGGGAGTGCAGTGGAGGATGGCCCAAGTGCTTGGGCCCTGCACCCGCATGGGAGACCAGGAGAAGCACCTGGCTCCTGGCTTCGGATCAGCACAGCATGCCGGCCATAGCGGCCAAATGGGGGGTGAACCAACAGAAGAGAGCTCTGTCTCTCTCTCACTGCCTAACTCTGCCTGTCCAAAAAAAAAAAAAAAAAAAAAAAAAAAAAGAACCAAAACAAATGTCATGTGATATCAAATGAGTATAGTGGTGTTATTTACAGGTGCTTTCCCCATCAGTCATGAGTCTAACTCCATCAGCAGCAACTGTAAGGACAAAGAACACTGTATTCAGCTTACTTATAAATAAATGGAAATGCAATTATATTGGTAGTTATGCTTCTCACACAAAATAACCCCTTCCAGTAGCCCTTTCTAGATTCATCCTGACTTACATTCATCACAATAAGGTTTTTTAAAGACAAAAACATATCCTTTAAGTCAACTCTTACTGATTTGAAATAATAAATGCACTTGAAATACATAAATGTAAATATACTCACATACTATTCATTCTATAGAAAATAGGAAGTTGATGAAAGCGGGCATTTGGTGTAGTGATTAAGACGGGGACCCATATCCCATATCAGTGTTTGAGTTCAAGTTCTTGTTCTAATTCTGATTCTAGATTCCTGCTAATGTGTACCCAAGGCAACAGTGATCACTACTACACACCTGCAAAACCTGGATTGAGTTTCCAGCTCCCTGCTTCAATCTGGCCCAGCCCCGGCTGTTTGCTGGCATTTGGGGTATGAACCAGTATATAAGAGATCTCTCTGTTGGGTTCTCTCTGCTCTTCAAACAAATAAATAAATATTTTTTAATAAGGAAGTTGTTCACTACAGAAACTAATAAGCTGTCATTTTCTTGGTAGCTGTTGAAAGCATTGAGAATTTTCATTAGTCTCTAACAATATTTAATGTTATTTAACAAAAAAGTATTCTATATGTGCAAAACATAATCAGACAAGGGTTGAAGAAGGAAGACAGAAAGATGAGGAAGACATGGCCCCTGCTTTCAAAGACAGTAACAATCTAATGGAAGGACTGACATGGACACGAAGAACACAGGAAAGGAAAGGAACAAAGGAAGCAAGGCAGGGGCAAATGTGAGCCCCTGCACACTCCAAAGACGCTTTTAAATCTAGTGCCAAGACGGGGACTAGAGAGCAGGCAGGAGGGAGGAGCTGCCTTTATATTCCATTCTGAGAGACACCTGATCTGGTTCACTCTCCTCTGCTATGCCCTTGGTAGCTGAATTCTGACCAGCCATTCTTTGGGAAGATCTAACATCTTCTCCAGACCAGATCCCCTAAATGGTAAATCACTTGCTGCTATCTGTTGTGTGTCTCTCTCTCTCTCTCTCTCTCTCTCTCTCTCTCATCTTGTTTCAGAAATCAAAGTAAAACAGAAGCTGCTGTTTTATCAACACAGTGATAAAACAGCCTGGTATTTGCAAATATGTCATTTTCTCTGAAATACCTTGCAAGAGAACTAAAATTCCAGTGTCCAGGCTGAGCGATGCTCTTAACCCTGTGGGCTTTCATTGGTGAATCTTGAGCTTAACTTTGCCAAAAAGCAGTCAGTCTGATGACTGCTTTTGTATCCCTCTTTCAAAAGGTATTAACTGATTGTTCCTCATATGAATGAATCTCTGATTGCACAACTAGAAAAAAAAAGACAAAATTAAGTCAATGGATTCAGTCTCAGAAGCGAAATTGCTGATGAATGTCAGTAAAAATCAAATAAACAGGTCTAGGATTAATGCTTTCCAAGGAGCCAAGTGCAATCTGTCCTCCAGACGCTAAGCCAGGGGATGCCTCTGCTGACAAGGGAGTGTCTGGCTTTTGAATCAGTGGGGCACCTTTTTGGAGAGACTCCAGGTTCTCCTGACAACAAGGACCTTTTTTTTTTTTTTTTTTTTTTTTTTGGTGGTGAGCCTGAGGGACTCCTTGCCATACAAGGCCACAGCTGAGTAAAGTAATTCTCAAGAAGGCATAAACCACTGCAAGCCTCACATACCATAATAACAATGTTACATCCTGGCTGAACAAGACACAGAGACCAAAACTGGAGGCCTCAAGATTCCTTTCATTTAAAGGTTCTGGCTCTCAGTGATTCCAAGAATTGCCTTCTCTTTCCTCCACTGATTGCTCATTGTCTTCAATTACCATCTTTTTGCAAAGCATCCATAGGGGTGCACATTTGTCCAGAATCGCTAACTACAGATTTGGAAGCCCTAATTCTCTGACCACGTAACATCAGACACTGTGTCTAAGACCAAATCAGAAGATGCTATCCAAGGGACTTCGTGAGAACCTTGTAAATCTCTAGACTTACAAAAAAATACATTTTGAAATCTGTGTTTTATTCTTTTGTAGTTCATGTACATGTGCTTTAATAACTACAGGTCGATACCAAATTGCCATTATGATTCCTTCTGAAATCACTTTTTTTTCTGTTAGCAATATGCTATATCAAGGATCAATAAGGGGAGCCAGATTTGTGGCACAGCAGGTTAAGCAGCTTCCTGTGATGCCAGCATTCCATATGCACACCAATTCATGGCCAGGCTGCTCCACTTCTGACCCAGCTCCCTGCTAATGCACCTGGGAAAGCAACAGAAATTGGCTCAAGTCTTTGGACCCTTGCCACCCACTTGGGAGATCTGGACATAGTTCCAGGCTGCTGACTTTGACCTAGCCCAGTCCTGGCCATCGTGACCATTTAGGGAGTGGAAGATCTCTTTGTTCTCTCTCTCTCTCTCTCTCTCTCTCTCTCTCTCCTTCTCCCCCAACTCTGCCTTTCAAATAAATAAACACTTTTTCTAAAAAATATTTTTATTTGTATTTTGCTTCAGCAATGAGTTCATAAAAACTTAGACTATGTTGTACATTCTTTGGTCTCCCAACTTCTATTAATTGAGTTATGATGTTTGACAGTGTAGAGCATGATATATCCAATTGTAAAAATATTGCCCACATAAATTTTAAAAAATTGTTTCAGTATCACTGGGCACTACCTATGGGGTTTTAGAAATCATATTTATTTAGTTAATCATTGCTATGGAAGATACTGAGACTGACGGTTATGATTTGAACAGAAGAATCAGCAGGCCATTATTACAATAAGCCCACCTCACCTCTGTATACGCTGCAAAGATAATTTCTACTCTAAATAGCCAGAATAAATTATATTCTCTGAAATTTCACTCTGACCAATATTATGGCAGCTCAAACACGTGCATTTATCTCTGTTACCTCTTTGAACTCCATAAAATGACAGCAAATGATTAAAGCATGCATAAAGTGGTGAAGTCAAAGAGCAGAGCAGAGAAGACAAGTACAAAACAGAGACATCAACAAGGGTTTGGAGCATCTGTTGTAGACTGGGCTCTTTTTGAAGCAGACTCTGAGATGAAGTTGAATGTGCTGAATGTTTATTAATGAAGGCCCCTGGAATCAACACCTGTGGAAGGGAGGGTAAGAAGCAGAATTAGGCAGAAGTCAAGTTGCAAGCAGGGTCTGATGACAGCCTCAGCCAGTCCCAGGAGGAGTCCTGAACAAAATGGCCCATCAGAGTTGTCCTGCCTTGGCCAAAGTAGGCCTCCATAGGAAGACCATGTCTGTGGACACTGGCTGTCTGTAGCAGAGGCTATCCCAAAGGGGAAGACAGCAGAGGGAACTCACTTGCAGCATCCTTCCTTGAAATGGCATATGGACAGTGCGCCCTTGAAAGCAACTTCCTACTAAGCAATCATCTGTACCAATTGGGAGCTGGTCTCAATGCAGCTATTACAATCTTTTCTAAAAAAAAAAATGTATTTATTTATTTGAAAGGCAGAGTTACAGAGAGGCAGAGGCAAAGAAAGAGGTCTTCCCTCTGCTGGTTCGCTCCCCAAATGGCTGCAACGACCAGAAATGGGCCGATCTGAAGCCAGGAGCCAGGTCTCCCATGTGGGTGCAGGGGCCAAGGACTTGAATCATCTTCTACTGCTTTCCCAGGCCATAGCAGAGAGCTGGATTGGAAGTGGAACCGGCAGGACTCAAACCAGTGCCCATATGGGATGCCAGCACTCCAGGTGGTAGCTTTCCCACTATGACACAGCGTCGGCTCCAATAACAAATTTTTTTAAAAAAGATTTATTGACTTATTTGAAAGAGTTACACACAGAGAGAAGGAGAATCAGAGAGAGAGAGAGAGAGAGAGAGAGAGAGATCTTCCATCCGCTGGTTCACTCCCCAATTGGCCCCAGTAGCTGGAGCTGCGCCAATCCAAAGCCAGGAGCCAGGAGCTTCTTCTGGGTCTCTCACATGGCTGCAGGGGCCCAAGGACTTGGGCCATCTTCCACTGCTTTCCCAGGTCACAGTAGAGAGCTGGATCAGAAGTGAAGCAGCCAGGACCCGAACTTATGCCCATATGGGATGCCAGCACTGCAGGAGGTAGCTTTACCCACTACGCTACAGCACCAGCCCCAGTAATTACAAATTTTTTAACTGTGAGTAGTTGTTATTAGGTTACAAGAATGGTCCCTGTTTGCACCACTTCTCTTCACAATTCTCAAGCAATGGAAATCACATAATCTACTAATTTCCAACTTATTCTGAATAATGCTCTTCTGATTCTGATCATTATTACTACTGGCCTCTATTGATACAGTGACTGCTTCATGTGTATTGTGTATCTGATCGGTTCTGTCAGGGCCGCTGAACATTGTGCAGGAATATGGGGCTTCATACAGAAAGGAGAGCCCATGTGGATGTGAGAGAAGCTGGGAGAACGAAAGTCCAGAAGGTCACAGCTGGAGGACTGGAGAAAAATTCACTGACGCTTGAGTCTGGGGCCCTGGCGTATGGTGAAGAAACTCGAACACACAGGTGGGGTGTGAGAATCCTACTTTGACTCCAGAAAGAGGGCTCACGGATAAGATTCCGAGCTCTCGCATCTGCTGAAATCCTGGTCTCATCAACTCCTCAACCTGAGAACGACAGTCTCCCTTCTCTTCTGCCCACCAAATCTTGCGCAAGTCACAAAGTTTCATTCACCAACTCCAACCCAGATCCACAGAAGAAAGAGGATCCTGGGAACACTCCTAGCCTCAGGCAGAGAATTCTAGGAAAGTTCCTAGCCTCAGGCAGCAGGGATGCCACAGGTGCTGAATTATCCACTGACTACCCATGCAAAGATAACTCCACTATCTAGAAAACTCCATTATCTAGCATGTAGGTGTCCCTGTTAACATTTGTTGGCAGATACATCTCTAAGGGATGAAATAACTTGCCTGAGGTCACATGCTAATAGCTGGCAGAATTCAACTCAAACCCAGGTCTGCCTAATGCCCTTGGTGATATTTTCACAACTTTGCTGTAATAGCCCTTCAAAATCTACACAATTACTGATAACCTGTCACAATATTCCTTTAAATAGCATGCCCCATCTCTCATGAGTGCCAGAGGCATATATTTTGACTAAACTAGAACATTGTGGGTAAGAGATTTCAAGACTAAAGTGATGCGTTGGGGATGCGTGCCTCCTTCGGGACCAATCTGGGATATTTCTGTGCTGATCCTTGGTACCAGGTGAACTGTTAGCTTACAGAGCTGCACGTTACCAGTCATGGAGGAGAGGCCGGTTGCAGGAGCA